CAGTTCGAAAAGGTTGCGGCCCCTAAATAAGATGCTACTTTTGATAGAACTGCCAATCATCTCCGAAACGGAAAGTCTGGCACGGGAAATTCGATATTCCGCATTGACATCCAGGACTTTAAAACATGGGGTGTTGGGGGTGATTGATGTCGGTGAAAAATTCATCATCGAACCATTATCAACACGTGCAGAATGGCGGAAAAATTAAAATTGCCCCACTATCAGTCGATGTGTTTAACATTATGGGTGTGAAGTGAAGTTGCGTAAATTGCATCCCGATACGTATCAGACGTTCGCATGGTTCCTGGAAGTTTCCACATTGGAAGTCCGAGCGCATTCGGGCCGCGCCCTTGCATAAAAATGATGACACGCAAACGGCTCATCGGCGTTTGGAATATTAAAAATTACTTGCAGAAAGCCGCCAATGTGCAGATAGTGAGTGATTAAATAAACAAGCGACAAGAGCAACAGGAGATTTTATTTTGGGCCTTCGGTCAAGTTCATTGCTTTGAAGGTCCAAATTTGAAAAAATTGTCGCCACTAAAATAGAAAAGATCCAAGCGCGATTTTTGCCCTCAACGTGATACAGACTCAACGTGTTTTTAGTACGATCTGCCAATTTGGACTCAATTGGCCGACGAGAAGGTTTTTGAGAATTTTTCAATCTTGAAAACCAAAAATTTGGTGGCTCCCAAACTAGAAGAAATTTAACAGCGCAAGATCGTGCGATAATATTATTAATTGGATCAGGCCCACTCACTGATCCTTAACGTGCATTTTTAAAATTTCCATGCTTCATTTCGCATCTAATAACTCCAGCTACTGCGAATCCGTTTCGTCAGATAATTAATTTACAGCTGCCTACGTCTATTGCAGTAGCAGGAGTTTAAATCTAAATTGTTTATATGAGCTATTTAATCAGATTTCCGTATATTCTTAACGCAAATGAAATGCAACTTTGTTGGCTTATCTATAATGAAAATAATTATTTATTTGTGTTCGTTTCCGCACCTCGGGCCGTTAAATCTTGTTTTCATAATGAAGCGATCGCCAGCCAGTTACAAATTGTTCGATTTTTTATGGCAGGAAAACACAAGCGCGAATTGCGCTCAGGTGCTGATCAATTGGGGATGAAGATGCGTTTGCATATTTCGTTTCGAGTTTTAATTTTCCGAATGGATGCTGAATAAGCGTAGAATCAATAACTTCTTATGGCAGAAGAAATTATTTTTTATTGGCCTCAACTATGAAAATGACGCAGTTCAACGACTGTTAGATGGACCTGTCCTTGGAACTAGCAGGTTCCGATGGAACATTACCATAATCAACCAATTAAGTTACACCACTCGAGGAATGTATGGGTTTTAGAAAATTTCGTTTTTCATCACTATAGGGGAATTTTAAAAATAAATTGCGCTTTAAATAGACGGCCGATTGTAGGTCAAAAAACTCGGGTGTATCCAAGGAATTTTCAGTGGCAAAGTAATTAACTAACTAACTAAGTTTCTCCGGTCTGCAAATCTAGAGCGGACTTGGCACTGAAAAATCTGGGAAAATGTCTTAATTAGGGAATTTATTTTCGCATTCAGGCTTGATTCTCTCTTAAGTTGGTTGAGTCTTCTTGCTTCCTCTACTTTGGGTAAAAATTTCAGGAAGAAGCGCAAGTTCTTAATATTAACGTCTTGTTTGCAATATGTTCAACTGCTGGAGTCGAGCAGCGATGAGTTTGATTAAAATACTGAATTCTCTAGACATTTCTCGGCTTGGAAGGCAGCAGCTTGAGTGTCCGAGTAAACATTTCTTGGCGTTTTCCGGCAATACATGGACAATTAACGCGATTAATTGCTAAGTAATTGAGCAAAGTTATCGTTGAACTCGGCCTAATTTCCCTGAGGAGTGAGATGCGATGGGAGTGAATCGTCTCTTCTAAGGCCTCTAATTTGTTTTCCAATACTGCTTGAACTTGCCGAATTTTCTGGATTAGTTTCCCAGTTGATTTCAGGTCGGTTTCCTTGAAACATTTCAATTTTCCGACGGGGCGCGATTTGTTTTTTGTGTTTTCTGCGATAAAGCTGTGAGATGCATAAGCACCGCCCTTAATTGACGTTTAAATGGATATGCGTGTTAAAAATGTCTTGGCGTTTGGGATTTGCAGGGACTTTTTGATGCTTTCTAATGGAATAGCGCTGTTTTATGAGTAGCGCCGGGCCGAGGAAAATGGAAATTTGGCAAATTTTAAAATACTTCAACTCCGTTTCGCCTAGAGTTTTC